AGGCTTTATAGGTAATATTTTCGCTGGCGAAATTGCACAAAAATAGACAATACTGATAATATTGTGTCTAAAATGTAACACAAAATTAACTTATTGTTTATTGAACGGTTGTATAAAATAAGTGCAACATTTGCAATCATGCAGATATTTGGGAAAAATCAGCTCTCTTGCTCGTGTCATGTGATATTGGTAAACTCATATGATATTAAGGGAAAAAACCCATCCATATTTTATAGGGGTGTAACGATTCACTCGTTTTCTCGATGCATCGATTACAAACACTGACGATGCAATGCATCGATCTTGAAACATGGACTTTTTAATCGTGAATCACCTATTTCGGACAGTAATCGATTTAAAACGCTAAGAATCGAATGAATCACGATTTCTATAGCGATTCAGTGCTTTCAAAATAAATACACATTAAATTACTACAAGCACAAATTAATGGAGACCTTGAACAGTGTTCGTGCCCTTGTATCTCCTTCACGCGCTCCACTATTTTAAGTACAATACTCAAGTAAATGTGCTTAGTTACTGTCTGCCTCTGCCTGTGACTGTCACAGGATTGCGCTCGCGCTCAGTTCGTCTCTGACACATTTTTTGAGCAGCTGATGTGTGATCTCTCCTTAGTACTCATGGCCAGTAATGCTAAAGTGAAGTAGTTTTACTTTTCTGTAGTTTTTCAATGGCTCTCGGTCATACCGACGACCATGCACTCATGATTTTTGAGAGGGCACGAGTGGGGTGGGGGCTCGTCATGCTTGTCATGTGACACAGCAGCCACAATAGCATTGTATGACTGATATAGGCTTATGTTTTATTTAATTTTTTTCCTTTTTATTCAAAATATTTCCAAACGTGTTAACTATATCAGGAAATATCTCGATTCTCAAACATGTGTAAGTAAATGCGTTTTGCACCAGATTGATCTATAATGGGTGATGGGCAAAGTAGACTAATAGTGTAATCTATTAACTACACATAAAAACCTGACTTTTTACTTAAAGGAACACTCCACTATTTTTGAAAATAGGCTAATTTTCCAACTCCCCTAGAGTTAAACAGTTGAGTTTTAACCGTTTTCGAATCCATTCAGCCGATCTCCGGGTCTGGCGGTAGCACTTTTAGCTGTAGCTTAGCATAGATCATTGAATCTGATTAGCATCTCGCTTTTTATTTATGTGGAATAAAGTCGTTATTTTTGTTTTCTTTGCGCAAAAAGGTATTCTCGTAGCTTCGTGACTTTACAGTTGAACTGATGTCACACGGACTACTTTGTCGATCATCTAGGTACTTTTCTGGACCTTGAGCGTGGTAGTTACCTTGCTGTCTATAGGGCCTTTCGCACCGCTTTAGTTCCAAAACTAAATGTACAGTACTAAAGTACTGGGACGATTCTGCGCAAACTATTTCCCAGTACCATTTAAAGGGTTGCATTCGCACCGACAGTGTGTACTAAGAAGTGACGTAAGCCGGTCGACAGCGTCGTCATTTGTGCGCGGTGTTCAACAACGGAAACAAAGAAGAACAACATTAACAACTGGAGGATGGAGGACGCTGTGATCGGAGCTGTGTTTTTGTTGTGTCTCGCGGGTTTCACAATAATGGACATGGAAAGTCGACGTATACGTAAAGCGATTGAAAGAACGGAAAGGAGGACTAAAAATCTCCAACGACAACCGGCAGTGCTACATTTGCTACAAGTGCCTGCACTTCAGCGTCCGTCCATCTATCGCTGTTCTCCATACTTGCGAAATAATGGGAGGGTCAGAGAGCCCTCATATTTCATCAAAAATATCTTAAATTGTGTTCCGAAGATGAACAAAGGTCTTACGGGTTTCGGATAACACGAGGGTGAGTAATCAATGACAGAATTTTCATTTTTGGGTGAACTAACCCTTTAAATTCACGTCCTTGAATGAGCGTTAGCGTATTCTTTAACCGCTCAGGTAATGTTGGTATAACTCATTTCAGGGGCTGGCAAAATTACAGTGTAAAATTAGTCAGAGCTACAGAAATGAATCTTAATATTTACAAGTACTACTTTCTGCTCGACTCCATATTATAAAAAAAATTAATTTAATAAATCAAAAATAAATTGTGATTTATATCCATTATATGCAGTTTAAATTATGTTGTGTTCATTTGGTATGTCGAGAAAACAAGTTTGTTTTTTTTGTTTTGTTTTTCAAATTCATGGCTCTTATCAGCCTCCGTACACCGGTGCCCGGATGCGCAGCACGGATGAGAGCGTCTGCGCAGTTCACAGATCTACAGATCCCACGGCTCGTTTCAACAGCTCTGCTGATCGCTGTTTGGATGTTGTACAGATCAGCTCTGTCTGCTCACTCACTCATTTAAA